GGCCGACAATGCGAGGTCACAGTCGGCAGGGCTAACCGGACCTTATCGTGTATCCACAGGTGCATCTCAAGTAGGACCAAGGAGGTGATCCTCCCCTTTCTACATGACACTGGTCAGGCCACAGCTGGAGTACTGTGTCCAGTTCTGGGCACCCCACTTCAAGAGGGATGTGGACAACATTGAGAGGGTCCAGAGGAGGGCCACCCGCATGATCCTGGGACAGCAGGGCAGACCCTACAATGAGGACCTGAACCTGTTCAGCCTTCACAAGAGAAGGCTGAGGGGGGACCTGGTGACCGTCTATAAACTCACTAGGGGGGACCAGAAGGGTTTGGGGGAGACCTTGTTTCCCCCAGCGCCCCCCGGGATAACAAGGAATAACGGCCACAAGTTGTTGGAGAGTAGGTTTAGATTAGACATCCATAAGAACTACTTCACAGTCAGGGCGACCAGGATCTGGAACCAACTTCCAAGGAAGGTGGTGCTGGCTCCTACCCTGGGGGTCTTTAAGAAGCGGCTCAATGCCTACCTGGATGGGGTCATTTGAGCCCAGTTTCCCTCCTGCCCAGGCAGGGGGCTGGACTTGAAGATCTACAAGGTCCCCTCCAACCCTACTTCTATGATTCTGTGATCCTAGCACAAGGCCTGGAGCCGTGCCCTGTAATGGTCCCCAGTACTGGCTTAACTCTGTTTCTGTGGAAGCAGCTGGTAAGTCTGTCTGGCTTCTGTGGGAGCCAGAGGTGTAACAAGGCAGGCGGGTGCCCAGGGCAGCAACATGCATGGGGGCAGCTGACTCAGCTGCTACCAGGCAGCCGGCATGATTGTGCAGGCGTGGTGGTAGCTGTTATTTTTCTACCCTGCTTCTCAAGTCGGCACCTCGGCAGAAGGGCCTCAGAGTATGTGGGTGCTGCCTTTGCTGTGTGGCTGGTTGTCAGCCCCAGGGGCAAAGGCATTGCCCAGCTGCGAATGAGGCCTGACCTTCCTGCACAGGTTGCACTGTGCAAAAGGGTAGATGGTGCCTCTGAGAGGTGGGAGTGGGCTGCAGTAACCCCCTCACACTTCGGTAGTGAATAGTGGTGTAGCCCGCTGGACAGATGAGTAGATCTGACTCTGGAATTCTGGGTTCTATTCCTGGCTCTGCCACTAGGCAAATTTAGGCAACTAATTCTGCCTCTCCCTGCCTCCATTTCCTCTTCTGTAAAATGGGCCAATGATACTGCACTCTGTTGTGAAGTATGTTGAGATCTACTGCTGGCCAGCTCTGTATAAGGGCTGTCCATTATTTTTAAAGTTGCCTCTTCCTTTTATTCTTCCAGGTCATGTGTTCAACATGCCCCATGACAACGTGAAGGTCTGTGAGGAGACCTTTGGCAGGCTGAAAACCAACCACATGATGTCTCCCACTCTCATACAGATTGACCGTGCCAACCCCTGGTCAGCCTGCAGCGCTGCCATCATCACCGACTTCCTTGACAGTGGGCATGGTGAGCTGGGGCTGGGACCATAGGTAGGTGGGAGGGATGGAGAGGAGAGGGAGGGGGATGCAGTTGCTGATGTTGGCTCAGGTCAGGCGTCATTGGAGGCCAGTCCCAGCAGGTGATGCGAGGCACCCTGGGGTATTGTCAAAACTGTGAAGTCCACTGCTGGGGAACATAGTTTCATTTGAGGAAGTGTGGGTTGGATAGAAGTGGATAGAAAGCTGGCTGCATTGTCAAGCTCAATGGGTAGTAATCAATAGCTTAACGTCTAGGTGGCAGCCAGTATCAAGTGGAGTACCCCAGGGGCTGTTTCTGGGGCTAGTTTTGTTCAATATCTTCATTTAACAATCTGGAAGATGGGATGGAGTATACCTTCCAAAAGTTTGCAGATGACACCAAGC